TGTGATATATATATATATGTTTGTGGATTCTTTAGTTTCTTCTGACCAAAGTTATGTTAGAGACGGTGAGAGGATCTACCAGAAAGGGCCTAAGTACTTCTCATCCGGGACTCCTAAGACCCCAGCAGGCAGGGCTGGAGAGATGGCTCCGCAGTTCGGAGCATGTACTGCTCTTGCAGAGGACCTGGTTTCGATTCTCAGCACTCGCTTTGGATTGCTCACCACTGCCTCTAACTCCAGCTCCAGATACACTCTTCTGGCCTCCAAAGGTACCTTTACATGTACACCCACACATATGTGCGCCCTCACACAAGAACACTCACACACTTACATGCACATGTACACATGCGTGCACTCACATACAAGATGCTTGATTTGTAAGTGGTGAATTTTCTCAACAGAAGTAGTTTCATATAATCCTGTGTTTTCATATGTTTGATTTCCTAAAGAGATGCATTTTTAATGCATGAAGAAAGCTGTCACAGAAAAATGCACATTCTAGTTAAGCCTAATTATCGCTTATTTGGCATGTGTGAAGCTGAGGTTAATCATGGTTCCTTTTTTTTGGAATTTTTTTTTGCAGTTTTTTTTTTTTTTTTTTTTTTTTTTTCTTTCATTTTTTGAGGCAGCATCTCCCTGTAGCCCCAGCTGGCCTGGAACTTACTACATATACCAGGCTGGCCTTGATCTCGTAGATCTGAGTACTGAGATTAAAGGCATATGTCGCTATACCCAACTAAGTTTCTTAACTATGCAAAATATTGATTTCTTCATTTGTAAGTGAAAATAATGGGAATAGTCTCATGTCTCATAGGTTTGCTGTATTATTTGAGGCACTAATAAATTTCTTAGTACAGAACCTTGTACATGCTACTCAATAAATGTTAGGTGGGTTGGAGAGTTGGCTCAGAGGTTACAAGCACTTGATGCTCTTGCAGAGGACTCAGGTTTTGTTCCCAGTACTCATATGGGGAGTTCACAACCATCTGTAACTACAGTTCCAGGAGATCTGACATCCTCTTTTGACCTCTATGTGTACTGCATGCATGTGGTGCATCTAAAGACAAGCAGGCACACACACATACACAAAATTTTTTAAAAATATATTTTATGGTTGTGAGCCTGAGCCTTTGGAAGATTATTTTTTATTTTATAGACATTTTTGTTTAATGTATATATTTTTAAACATTTCACTAGTGATTGAATTCTGCTTTTGCCATCTGAACTGACTTGAATGTTCCACAACAGGCAAATCTTATAAATGTGTATCTTGATTTCTCATGTGAACAGAAATGTACAGGAAAAATTAAATTATTTTATCACAAAAATATTTATATTTTTTTACTTATTTTTTTTAATTTTCATGTGTATGAGTGTGTTACCTGCATGTATGTGAGTACATCCATGTTGTGCAATGCCTGTGGAGGTCCAAAGAGGGTGTTGGACTCCCCTGAAACTGGAGTTATGGATGGTTGTCAGCTGCCATGTGTGTGCTGGGAATCAAACCCAGGTCCTCTGCAAGAGCAGTCAGTTTTAACCACTGAACCATCTTTCCAGCCCCCACATATACAGATATTTTTTTAAAAGTTGCTAGGTTTTGAATATTCAAAAGTTATTTAAAAAACAAAGCCACATAGCAGTTTCTGAAAAGTTATAACAAGTACTAGTGTAATACTATCAAAGCTGTTAACCTAGTGCTGGGTGTTGCTTAGTGGTAGAGCACTGGCCTAGCATGTAGGTGGCCTTGGGTTCAGTTCCTAGCAAAGCAAGAAAATAAACAAAAGGTAACTAACATACCCTTGCTTCTCACTGTATCTAAGACTAAGAGTTATGTAGAGGTAGAAACTCCATTCTGTAATTTGTTTCTCCCAGGATTGGTTTCTGGTTCTGTTATTTTTTAATGTTATTGATTAGTGGATTGACTTAAGTCCTTGAGGAAACTTGAAATATAGTTGTTTCTTTCTCTTTCTCCCCATCCTCTGTCTCTGTTCATTCATTTGTTGGTTCTGTACTAGGATTTCTTTGTTCTGTACTAGGGATTGAGCCCAGGACCTTGAGAATGTTGGGCAAGTGCTCTATAACTGAGCTACATCCCCAGCATAAGATATTTTCTTAAACTTTTTGTTAAATGAATTTAAATGCTAGCATGCTGATTCAAGATGATGATGTTGGTTATGTTCTGACACTGTACTAATGCTCATACCTAGAGGAATAAAATTTAAAATGTTTTCTTTCTTATTATAGCAGAATGGCCAAAGACTATGACAGGTCTTCCCAGCACATCTGGGACAACTGCCAGTGTGGTCATCATACGGGGCATGAAGATGTATGTAGCTCATGTAGGTGACTCTGGGGTGGTCCTTGGAATTCAGGATGACCCGAAGGATGATTTTGTCAGAGCTGTGGAGGTGACACAAGACCATAAACCAGAACTCCCCAAGGAAAGAGAACGAATTGAAGGCCTTGGTGGAAGGTAATCATTTTGTTTTGTGTTTGCTTTTTTGTTTCTGTTTAACTAACTCAGAAACACCTTGTCTTTTGTCATCCTTTGTCTCTCCCTCCTCTCTCTCCCTGCCCCTATTAAAATTAAGGCAAGATTTCATTATGTAGGTCAGGCTGGCATGGAGCTCACTAGATAACCCAGGGTGGTCTGTAACTAGTGATCCTCTGCCTTGGTCTCCTGAGTGCTGGGATTACAAATGTTACTCCTCCCTCCTCCCTTGTTTTGACACAAGATGTCATGTAGCCTAGGCTGGCCTGGAATTTCTGATCCTCCTGCCTCTTACCTCCCAAATGCTTGGATTATAGGTGTGCAGCAACTATGCCCGGTTTTCCTTCTTTTTTTAATGAAATTAATTTCCTAGTATTATATGTTTTTCATTTACCTGACAAAAACCCCTGTGCACTCATATTTATCTTATTATTTTGAGTTGCTTTATTTCTGACCATAACTCCAAAGGGAAAGCAGTATTTCAATAACAATATATACGCAAAGTTTTATTAAGTCTTTCAGATAAATACTTACGTATGACCTTCAGAATTTGGACAGAGCACAGCAGTTAGTCTGTGTCATATGATTTGAAGATTTTCACAGTTTGTTTCAATCTTGGTCCTGGATTTTTGTGGGTTTTTTTCTTTCTTTCTTTTTTTTCCTGGCTGGCCTGAAACTTGCTATGTAGACCAGGGTAGCCTCCATTTCAAAGAAATCTGCCTGCCCCTACAGATTGCTGGGATTGAGGTGTGTATCACCACACCTGGTTCTTGATCCTGGACTTAAATTTTTTTATTTGTCTCCCTTGTTTATATCTCCTAGGGTTCATACCCTGTGTATAGTGAGATAAAATATTTAGTGAGAGGAATGGCATTGTTTGCCATTTTTGAAAGTCTCTGTCTTAGAAGGTGACAACTAGAGTCTCATATCTTCTGCATTCATTCTGCTATGCTGTTATCTTGGTTGCAGTAGCTGATCTTAGATTTAAAGATTTTTTTTTTTTTTTTTTGAGACAGGGTCTCCCTGTAGCCCCTGCTGGCCTGGAACTCACTATGTAGACCAGGTTGACCTCAAACACAGAGAGATCCGGCTGCCTTTGCCTCCCAAGTGCTGGGATTAAAGGCATGCAATACCTCGCCTGGCCGCTTTGGTTTTATTTTTATTTTATGTGTGTGCATGTTTACCCTGCATGTATGTCAGTGTACCACATGTATGCAATGCCTGAGGAACCCAGAGGAGGGCGTCAGATCCCCTCGAACTGGAATTAACAGATAGTTGTTAACCATCATGTAGGTTCTGGGAACTGAACCTGAGTCTTCTGCTAGAGCAGCCAGTGCTCTCAACCCCTGAGCCATCTCTCCAGTCTCCATAGAAAGATATTTTAATAGCTTCTCCATGTATTCTTTGATACTGTTCTGAAAACCAAAAAGTAGTAGTTTTGTAAAGGCTATGTGTTGTAATAGCTCAAACTGTGTCAGTGAATTTTTCAGACTCTTATATTTAGGACCGTTAGCCTGTCAGTTAGGAGTATTTTAATTCATACATGGTATTTAAAAATGAATAGGACTTCCTTTTTTTAGGACACTTTTAAATTGACAGCAACATTGAAGGGAAAACAGCCATATACACCTTGGTCCTCTTCCATGTGTAGCTTTCCCTGTTATCAATGTCCTGTACTAGAGAAGTCCATTTGATATGTTCAAATTTAACATTGATGTATCATCATCATCCAAAGTCCATGTCTCTTAGGTTCATTCTAGTGTTATGTAGTCTATGGTATTTTGTTTTGTTTTTGTGTTAATGTTAGTTTCATTCTGGTGTTATATAGTCTATAGTATTTTGTTTTGTGTTTTTTTTTGTGTTAAGAAAGGATTTTCTTTAAATTTTTAATTTTAATTACTATTTCTTTTGCAATTTCAACCGTGTACACCTTGTATGCTAACCACTCCCACTTCTCATCCCTGTCCACCCTCCTTTCTCCCTACAAATCTCTCTCAGCATTCATGTTTAGAGAAAAGGTCTCACTATGTGGCTCAGGATAGACTCAAGTTCTTGGTATTTGTGTCTCTGCCTCCTAAGTGCTGGGATTATAAGTATATGCCTCTATACTCAGTATTCTATGGATTTTAACAAATATATGAAATTTACCCACCATTATAATGTTATAAAGTAGTTTTATTTTCCCCAAAATAGTTTTATTATGCATTTCCAGATATAGTGGTATACCTTTGATTCTAGCATTTGGGATGCTGAGACAGGAGATTTTAAGTTGCAGGCCACATTAGGCTACATAAACTAGCCTGGGCTACATAGTAGAGACTCCTTTTCAAAAAACAGAACAAAAGGGTATCGCATTTCAATTTGTAAAAATTTTATAAACTATACTGTGTCATTAAGATGCTTTGTACAGGGCGGGATATAGTAATGTATGCCTTTATTTTAAGCACTTGGGAGGCAGGGGCAGGCAGATCTCTCTGAGTTCCAGGCCAGCCAGGGCTACATAGTGAGACCCTGTCTCCACAATGAAAACAAAGGGGGAAGAAAAAAAAAAGATGCTTTATATAATACAAAACCATAGCTAGAGAAAGTTAAGTTTAATAAATATCAAATAGATTTCTGTATAAAGTTTAAAACAAAGCACAACAAAGATGTTCTATGTTTGGCCTATTCAGTGCTCCTCCTGACTTCCCAGCTCTTGACAACCACTGATTTTTTAAAATTGTCATTATAGTTTGCTTTTTCCAGAATGTCACATGGTTAAAACTTACAGTGTGTAGCTACATGAGATCTAACATAGGAATTTATCATTTAATTGCTTGCTCACTGAGTTATATATTATAGCCATTCATGTTACCTCTCAAAAACTCCACTGTAGATACCATGGTCTTAGTATTATGAAAAACAGTTAATCTTACATACTTGCTGAAAAAGTCTTGCAGGTTCTTGTAGCATAAAATTTAGCTAACTTGCTGGGTGTGGTGGTTTATGCCTGTAATCCCAGTGTTTTGGAGGGTGAAGCAGGAGTTGGTGGCCAGCCTGGGTTACATAGTGAGTTTTAGGCCAGCTTGAATTACAGGAACACACACACACACACACACACACACGCACGCACCATTTATCTAAAGGAGACTCCGTGGCCTTGTTTACTTAAGACTGAGCTGTCAAGCCAGGCGTGGTGGCCCATGACTGTAATCCCAGCGCTTGAGAGACAGGCAGAAAGACTGCTTTAAGTTGGAGGCCAGCATGTACCTAGCAAATTCAGGCCAGCCAAGGGCACATACTGAGACCCAGCTTCAAAAAACCTGAACTATCATTTGAGTAACTAGAAAATAACTACTAGAATCTTTCTTGGGTCTTTTTGACAGGGTCTCCCTGTAGCCCCAGCTGACTTGGAGCTCACTATGTAGACCAGGCTGGCCTTGAACTCACAGAGATCCATCTGCCTCTGCCTCCAGAATGCTAGGACTAAAGGTGTGCGCCACCACGCTCTGAAACTCCTAGAAATCTTAAGAATCAGTTTTCAAGACAGTGTTCTTGAGGTTGACGTTCAGCATACTTTATTATTTTTGTTCTGTAACCTACAACCTGAAAAACAATCTGCTTGCAAGCTGAAGTCTATTTAATTCTATGAGTGATAGACATATGCTTGGGTCTTTTCTGCATTTTTTTCCCTATATTTCATTTACTAGTATTATAATGTTTGAGAATGGGTGGTACTGGAGATTGAACCCAGGGTCTTATGCATGCTAAGCAAGCACTCTACCACTGAGCTATAGTCTCAACCCTCCATATTCTTTTTAAAAATTTTTTAAGTCTGGGCTAGTGTAAACTTACTCTTTTGAGGTAAAAAGTGACCAGAATCTAGAATCTATTGGGTACTTTAAAAAACAAAAGTTCCTAGATTCTTCCTCTTATTTAGCTCATTTACAATAAATAAACACTGATTTTCTGGTTATTTATAAAAAAAATTAAAAAAATAATAGTCACAGCTTTTAAATTCTGTTTGCTTGATGATTATTTGAGAATAAATCTGACGACTTAAAATATATTCTTAAAGGCAAAAGGGGCTGACTAGACTCCAGTGGACGCATTTACACTGAAGGACATTTGGGTACAAACACCTGAATGACTAGGACTCAGCATGTATTTTTTAAAAAGGAGCTGGTTTTAGCATCTATTTTTGGTTACAGGTGGCACAGGGCAAACAAATATTAAAAGTACTTCTTGCTTTTGAAATAGTTTGGAGTATGCACCTTCTCTCTTTTCTGTGCCTTGACTCTGTCACAGTTTATTTAGCACCCAAAGAACTTGTCAAATTATGTTTGTTATGATACTTTTCACTCTGAATATATATATATCTTCATACCCATTTTAAATTCTAAACTTTCTATTTGGAGACTATCATAAATGTTCCCCAAAGAGAACACTGTAAGATTACATGGCAGAGAGAAAGATCACCATGAATTTCTAGTTGGTTCTTTTCTTTATCTGCCTCACAAATTTACATACATATCAACAGCTTGTTTTATAGGAATCATTGGGTGTGTGAAATAGTCCCCAATTCTCCAGGTGAAGTACAGAAGTACAAGAAATATCAACTTCCTAAGTTCATTCTTCTGGTCTTTGGCTGGCTCCTCTTTGGAATCTATTTACTATTTGTTTTATTTTTTATTACTTTTTTAAACCTATTAACATCTTATTTCATTAATTAAAAAAATAGGAAATGCTTCTTAAATTCCTCAAAATATTTGATTTAGTTCTTCACATACAAGGTGAACAATTAAGGAAAGCACTTTACCATGTAGCAGGGAGAGAGACAATCTTAGAACCACGATGACTTTAATTCATGGTCAATATGTAGTCCTCTTCATACGTAACACTTACCATCAGTACTTGAAGACTTGTGAGTTGGAATTGCATGTTCTTTGAAGGATCTAAATTTTGGTGCACAACATTTGTACATGATTTCATGTTTATGTAGTGAAATGCATTGAAATGTAATAGTATTGAAATGTAAAGGTAAAGATAGTTGTGAAACATTGTCTATTACATTTTCCTTGTGTGTCTTGTTTGTTCAGAGCATAAAATTTCTTTTTAAATTGTTCTAACTGAATAATAAACACTGTAATTGAAACTAAAAAAAATTTTTTTTAAATTAATTTACTTTTATGTGTATGAGTTTGCCTGCATGTATGTAAGTGTGCCTATGCATGTAATGCCCACAGAGGCCAGAAGAAGGCATTGGATCCCCCTGGAACTAGAGTTTCACATGGTGGTTGATGGCCATGTGGATGCTGGAAAGCAAATCTAGGTCTTCTGTAAGAGCAGCCAGTGCTCGTAACTACTAAGCTGGCTTTCCAGTCTCCCCCAACCCAATATTCTTTTAAGGTGAGGCATTATAAATATTTTTGCTGGAGATCAGACCTGGGTCCTTGTACAACTAGGCAAATGCTCTACTATTGAGCTATATCCCTGATTTCTTGTTACATATGTATTTAATATTGGTAGGCCTGATTTCTTCTCCATTTTTTAAAATAAAATATTTTTCTTGATTATTTTCTCATTTCTTTTTCACCTTGAATTTTAAAGTTATGCTTTCTTTTTCTTTGTTTTTTTGCCTTACAATTTTTTTTTCTTTAATAGCATTTTTAAAGAGTTTATGTTTTTTGCCTTTTTACTTAAAAATACCATCTGGACAGTTGGACACATGCTCTTTGCTATTTGGGAGCAGGTGTCTTTGCAAAAATTGAGCCATTTCATGATAAGTTATTTCCTGTCTTCCCTCTGCCCAACCTAGGCAGTTGGCCGGCACTGTTTCTGCAGCCTTCTGTTGATGCACAGTCAGCTCTCTGCATGTCAGGCTGTTCCTCTTTATTTATCTTTGAATCATACAGAACAACAGCAGGGAGTGCAGTAAAAGCAGTCTACCCTAACATTACCTTGGTTTTTTTGACACCAGATTTAAAACTTTTTTGTTTAAAAAGTACCATTATTTGTCTTGTTCCTCAGAAACGCAGAGTCCATAATATCCTTGCAGATTAAATATCAAGGGAGTGCCTGGTATATTTTTATTCGAAACAGCTACTGTAATTATTTGTCTTAAGCCTTATCTTTTCAGATGTAGTCTTCTAGGAAGGAACAGTGGGGCTTTAAAATGGGTTGAAGACAGAATGTTGGCATCCCTCCTCATTGTAATTTCTCCTGGTTTGGACATTATTGTGAATGGCGGATTCACTTTATTGTTCCCTTTTTGAGGATCAGCTTTGAAGAAAGTGTAACAAAATGACTGCTTTTGATATTCTGACTCATGATTTACTGTTGCTTTCAGAGCTGAAAATTGAATTAGTTAACATAATATTTTCTGGTCATTCTGTACTTGATTCTTTTGATTCTGATTCTGTACTTGAGTCTTTTACTGTATTGTTTAATATGATAATCACTAGCCATATGTGACTGCTTAAATTTAATCATTAAATTTACAAAATCAGTTCAATTGCCCTGTTTACGGTTTATACCAGCCTTGTGGTTAATGACTACTGTGCTGTGTTGGACAATGCAGAATGAACATTTCCATTGGTGTGGGGTTTCATTTCATGGTGCTACTCAGATCTCTTGGGCTTGGCTTGACTTTGTAGTGGGAGGGATTAGCAGTCAAGGTTGGCAAGCTTAGACCACTAAGAGACATCTCAGCCCATACATATGGAGGACAGAGAACAACCTGCAGTTCTCCATCCACCATGTGGGTGGGACCTGCAGATTGAATTTAGGTTGTCAGTCTTGTGGCAGGCGTTTTTACCCCAGAACCATCTCACTGGCTCTTTCTGTCCCCTTTTTGAGATAGGGTTCTTAAGATATTGATGAATGACCTCAAATCCATGTTTCTCTGCCCAAGTTCCTTAGTAACTAGATTGCAGGCATCCACACCACCATTACCTAGTCCTCCCCATAGATTATTCAGACTATTACCAAAGGGTTTCTGGATGTATGAAGGACCTGAATAAGTGAACTTTATTAGATTAATAGATGTCAATCATAATAGATGTCAGTCTGTCTTTGAGAATGAACATCTGTCTTTATTTCTGTCAGGTAGACCTAATACCAGGTAGATTAATACCAGGTGAATTCTTAGAAATCCTTTTTTTTTTTTTTTTTTTTTTCCTACTACAACCTTTTTCTGGCTTTCCTGAAGAATATTTCCTTTCTCTTAACATTTCTCTGTGTGCACTAGTGTGTGGAGGCAGAGGTCAACTTCAGGTGTCACTCCTCGGGAACTAGTTTGTCCACCTTGTTTTTGAGATGTGGTTTCTAACTGGGACCTGGGCTTGCTGAGTCAAGTAGGCTGACTAGCCAGCAAGCTCCAGGGAGCCTCTTGCCTCTGCCTCCCTAGCACTGCATTCATTTTAAGTGTGCACCACCAAGCCTGGCTTTTATTTGGGTCAAACTTAGGTCCTCATGCTTTCACAGCAAGCCCTTTCCTGACCAATTACCTCTCTAGCCTTTCTTGACATTTAAAAATAACTCAGTCATGGGGGCAAGGGGGCTGGGTACGGGGACGGGACGACGACTCAGAAACCATGATTGGATTGAAATAAGGATCAATTTTTTAGTTAAGAAGTCCCATTTCAGTCACACCAGGTACAGAATGAGAAACCATCTTTGTTATACTTTTTTCCCCCAAATAATTAACCATACTTAAAAGTTTTAGGTGCCCTGAGTGTACTAATGACAGAGTTTTTGCTCCTGTGGCAAAATTATAGCCTTTTCTTTTGTTGGTGTTTTTTTTTTTTGAGGTGCGGGGAGGACCAGACAATGTCTCATTCTAGCCCAAGCTGGCCTAGAACTTACTGTGTAGACCAGGCAGGCCATGAACCTCTTGCCTCATCTTTCCAAGTACTGGGATTTCAAGTCTGACTCATCTTGTCCAGCTTCTATTAATTCTTCAAATCAGAAGCATTAAAGCTGGATTTCTTGTTTCCCTCATCCCCAAAGAAACACTCAGAACTATAAAATCCTGTTTAATTTATTTATCTTTGGGTTACCCCTTCATTTAGAAAATTTCTTTTTCCTTTTCCCAATTATTTGAGTCTTAAGTCTTCTTGCCTTTAAAAAAAATACGTATCTACTTATCCTCACATTATTTGCAATTGGTTCTGTTTGGCCTGTGCAGTCAAATTCCTTTCCTGTAACTCTACCCTGTTTTTTGCTTTCTTTTTATAACAGGAGCGTTGGCTTTTGTCTCTGTATTTGAAACACAGGTCATTATTTTATGATCATATAATCTTACTATATTAATTATTTAACACCAAGCTATCTTATTTAGAGTGTTTATGAACTCTTGTTTATTTTTTAGTGTGATGAACAAGTCTGGTGTGAATCGTGTAGTTTGGAAAAGACCTCGGCTTTCTCACAATGGACCTGTTAGAAGAAGCACAGTTATTGACCAGATTCCTTTTCTGGCAGTAGCAAGAGCACTTGGTAAGATGGATTTATATTTGGTGAAATCATCTTGTATTTTCTACACTATTCGGTGATAAGATAAAAGATAATACTGAGAACTAAACTCTCACGTGCAAAGATAGAGGTAATGATAATTGTATTAAATGCTCTAAAAGGTTGAGGGAACAGTTAAAGTCTGTATTTCAGCACCAGTTAGTTGTTCTTTGTTCACAAGTTATACTTAAGGTCTTATTTAGGGTGGAGATCTGTCTAGATCTATACGCGCATGCACGCACGCACGTACGCGCGCACGCACGCACGCACGCCTGTCCAGGCTTATTTAGGGTGGAGATCTGTCTAGATCTATACACGCACGCACGCACGCACTCGCGCACGCCTGTCCAGGCTTATTTAGGGTGGAGATCTGTCTAGATCCACATACACACACATGTGCCTGTCCAGGCTTAATGTTATAATTAAAGCTATTTTTAAGTATTCTTTCCTACTTCAGCCCTTAGTATTCTTAAGAGGCTTCAGAGTTGATTTTTTTTTTTAACAAAATAAGTTGTCCATAGCAAAATAAAAATAGCTCTTCCAAGTATCCTAGTTTTAGAAGGAAGACTGGAATTTTGTTTTGCTTTGCTTTGCTCTATTTATTTACTTGTTTGCTTGTTTATTTGTTTTGAGCAGAGCAAACATTTATTAGGGAAAAGTGAGAAAGAACTCCTAAGAGTGGGAGGGGCCCCAAGGGAGGAATACCCTCTTCTTGTTTTATTTTTGAGACAGGGTGTCACTCTGTTGTCCATGTATCTGTATCTGTATATAGTATCTGTATAGTATCTGTATATAGCCCAGGTTGGCCTTGGATTCACAGTGATCTGCTGCAGCCTTCGAAATGACTGGAATTATAGGAGTGAGTCACCATACCTAGCAAAAAAACAGAGAATTACAGCTAATGAAATATCTGCTTTGACTATCGTAGATACAGGGTCGTTTTTCTAAAGGAAATTCTGAGTCAACACCAATTTGTTTCTTTTAATACATATCTGAGTAAGTTGGTGGTAGGTATGAGGGTAGGCTTTGGAAGATGTTCTGTTGCCACTGAAGAAAGCCATGCAGCTGGGGAGTAGGCTATAAAGCAGTAAACTTTTAAATGAGGCAATTATAGACTAGGAAGTCCCATGAAAGAAACAGGGTGCTGCAGTGACAAATAAGGGAAGGAAAAAACTACTTTAGATAGTGTGACAGAAATGCTGCTTTTGGGAAGTACTGTTTTAGCAGCAACTTGAAAACAGAGAATGAATAGTTTGGGGTGGTATTCCAGGCATGATCCTGAGGAGGAAGGTCTTACTGTACACCAGGACTGTTCAAAACACTGAAATTGGACTGAAGATGTAGCACAGTTGGTAGAATGTCTGCTTAGCATGCTCAGAGCCCAGAGTTCCATTCCTAACATTGCATAAACTGGGCATTGTAGTGCACATCTATAACCTCAGTACTTGGGAGATGTAGACAAGAGGATCAGAAGTTCAAAATGATCTTCAGGTACACAATAAATTCGATTCAAGGCCAGTTTGGCTGGTATATAAGACTCTGTTTAGAAAGAAAGAAAGAGTAGTGAAGGGGAGGGCAAGGAAGTAAGGAAGGAAGGGGGGGAAAAAGACTGGAGTTGGTGAGATAGACATGATAAGTTGTAGTCAAAACACAGATACACTAAAAGTATATTGTAGGGGCTGGAGAGATGGGCTCAGTAGCTAAGAGCACTGACTGCTTTTGTAGAGGACCTGGGTTCGAATCCCAACACCCACATGGTGCTAACAGCCACTCCTAACTCCAGTTCCAGGGGATCTGACACCCTCTTCTGACCTCCATGGGCACTGTATGCATGGATGCACCTTCATATACACAGGCAAAACACTCATACGTATAAAATACAAAGAAATAAAATAACAAAAAGAAATCTGACAAATGTTCAAGAGGATGTGGAGAAAGAACAACCCTTTATTCACTGCTGATGGTAGTGCAAATTAGTACAGCCATTATGGAAATCAGTTTGGAGGTTCCTCAAAAACTTAAAAATAGAGCTACCATATGGCCCAGTTATTTCATTCCTGGGCATATACCCAGAGAACTCCATACCCTGCCTTAGAGATGTTTACACTTCCTAAACATTGATGCTCTATTCACTGAAGCAAGGAAATGGAACCAACCTAGTTGTCCATGAATCGATAATGAAAACCTGGTACATATATAAAATGGAATAGTGGGGCTGGAGAGATGGTTCAGCGGTTAAGAACACTGACTGTTCTTGCAGAAGATCCGGGTTTGAATCTCAGTGCTCACATGGCAGCTAACAACTGTTTGTAACTCCAGTTCCAGGGGATCCATTGGACAGCCTCTTCTGTCCTCCATGGGTATTGCACGACACAGGTGCACTTACCTACGTGCAGGCAATACACGCATACACATAAAATAAAAATAATAAAATATTTTAAAATGGAATATTAATCAGCTTTAAAGAAAAATGAAATTGGGACTGGAGAGATGGCTCAGTGGTTAAGAGAACTGACTGCTCTTGCAGAGGACTCAGGTTCAATCCCCAGTATCTACATGGCAGCTAATCAGTGTCCTAACTTCAGTTCTAGGGGATCAGATGCCCTCTTCTGACCTCCTTGGGTATTGTATTGCACAACAGCACACATGGGTGCACTTACATATATGCAGGCAATACATTCATACACAGAAAATAAAAACAAATAAAATATTTTAAAAAAAGAAAAGTGAAGCCGCGCGTGGTGGTGCATGCCTTTAATCCCAGCACCCAGGAGGCAGAGGCAGGCGGATCTCTGAGTTCAAGGCCAGCCTGGTCTACATAGTGAGTTCCAGGCCAGCTGGGGCTACAGGGAGACTCTGTCTCAAAAAGACCGAAAAAAAAAAAAGAAAGAAAAATGAAATTTGCAAGAAAATGGATATACTTAATAATATATAGTATTAAATGAGGTCATCCAATTTCAGAAAGAAAAAATTACATGTTCTCCCTCATTTGAGAACCAGTCTTTAATTGGAACAATAAAAAACTGCTAATGGGTTAATACAAAAATCAGGCAATAGTTATTTTTTGTTTTGAGACATGGTCTCCCTTGATAGTCCAGGCTGGCATGGAAGTCACAGTGCTCTTGCCATAGCTTCTCAAATGCTGGGGTTACAGGCATGAGGCGCAGCAGTTTAGATAGTCAAAGTTAAACTCACTATGAGGGATAATTGGACATTGTATGCCTGCCAATGTGTGAAATGCTGAGAAGGCCATACTATCCTTTATATACTGTTCTGTCCAAGAGTGTGTAACTCAGTCTGTATTACCAAGAAGCTAAAGAAATGTGACAGGTGAATACTATCTTGAGCATGGTGTGATGGCTTATGCCTATAATCCCAGCACATGGGGCTAAGGCAGGAGGATTGGCAAGTTAGGCCAGCCTGATGTGTAAGTTCCTGATTAACCAGAGCTACAAAGTGAAATTCTGTTTAAAAACCAAAAACAAGAACATGGGGCCAGTGAGATGGCACTTAACTGCCACCAAGCCTGACAGCTTGAATTTGATCCCTTGGTCCCACTTGATTGAAGGAGAGAACCAACTCCCTTAAGTTGTCCTGTAACTTCCATATGGGTGCTGTGGCATGAGCACACAAACACACACACACAGATACATACATGCATACAAAATAAATGTAAAAATAAATTAAAAACAACAGACAAATGGCCAGTGTACATATGAAAAAATGTTTAACTTCACTAACCATCGGAAAATGGTAATGCCCATCTTACCCCAGTCAGAATAGTAGTCATTTAGAAAACAACAAATGGGTTCTGGAAAGATGGCTCAGCAGTTAAGAGCACTGATTGCTTTTGTAGAGGACGTGAGTTCTGTTCTCAGCATCCACATGGCAGCCAACAACCATCTATAACTCCAATTCCAGGGGATTTGATGCCCTATTCTGGCCTCTGGGGGCATTGCATACATTTTGTTTTTATTTGTATTGTTTTGTTTTTTGAGACAAAATCTCCCTGTAGCCCAGCTGGCCTGGAACTTGACCAGACTGACTTCAGTCTTATAGGGATCTGCCTGCCTCTGCCTCCCAAGTGCTGGGATTAAAGGTGTGCCCAGTTTGCTCTGCTACAGATGTGCTTTTTAAGGTTTTAAAAAAGAAAACAACAAATGCAGGTCAGGATATAGACAGAAGGGAACCTCTCTACACTGTAGGTGGGGATATAAACTAATCTTGCTACTATGAAAGTCAATATGGAAGCATCTCAAAGAACTAAAAATAGCTCTTCATGACTCAGCTTTACTACTCTTGGGTATTCACCCAAAGGACTCTCAAGTCAAAATATCAGAGATACTTGCTTATCAGTGTTTATTGCAGCACTATAGAGAAGGGTAGAGGGTATGAGGAAAATATATTCAATATACAATAAATGCTTGTTTGAAAACTTTAAAAAAAATCAAAACAAAATGAAATGATGTTCTTGGCCCTAATTTGAATCAAAGACAATCTGAAAATTTTAAAAAATAGGTGGTAAATGGCAGATTAATTAATTATATCTGAAAAATGTTTGAATCCAGTATGCCACAGTTATATAAGAAAATACATTTATTTCTGGAATATGCATGTAGAAGTGTTTAACAATAAAAGGTCATGATTCAGGTAGGGCTGCTCTACATACTGAGTTCCAGGCCAGCTGGGGCTATAGGGAGACCCTGTCTCAAAAACCAAGCCAACAAACAAAAACATTAAAACTGTTAAGTACACTTTGGCCGGCTGTGGTGGCTCACGCCTTTAGTCCCAGTGCTTGGAAGGCAGAGGCAGGCGGATCTCTGTGAGTTCAAGGACACCCTGGTCTACATAGTGAGTTCCAGGATAGCTGGGGCAACAGGGAGACCCTGTCTCAAAAAAAAAAAAAGTCAAATTAGGAGGCAGATGTGATGGCACATGGTTTTAATCTCAGCATTAGCGTAGACTGAGGCTGAGACATCATGGTT